TAACATTCATAAAATATAAAGACAAGTACCTGATGCATCCTCTAAGGAACTACTCAACACCCAGCAACATCAGAAATCAGGGTAATTTCTTCAAATACCGTTGCCCTTGACCAGCCATCTCCATGGACATGAGCCTTTTCACACAAAGGACACGAGGGCTGTATGGAATTCTGCTTCATGTCAGCATGGTGGTACAAGGAATACCTAAATGCAGTATGGAAAACTAAGGACGTGAGAAGGAGGGATTGAAAACGAGGATGATCGCGTCCTCCTTCAGCCAAAGCAAAAGGACAATAGTTGAAGCAGCAATTTCCTTTGCTGAGATGGTTCAACTCAAGTTTTTACAGCTCTCTCATGTCAGGATCTTTTTGGGTGAAAATCAGAGCCACCCAAATCAACTAATAAGCTAAAGCAAAAACTAAATTGATTGGCTCATGTGACTTCAATGCCTGGCCCAAGAGTGTGAGGCTAGATGCTCGGTGTCATCAGACTTCGTACCATGTTATCTTCCGATCCCTTGTACCTCTTTGCTTCTGTATTGGCTCAATGGGTAGCAAAGATGGCCCTTAACAACTTAGGCAGAAATCCTCAAGAGCTGTGGAAAAAGGCCTAGAGATACCTCTCATGGGTCCAACTTTGGTCACACGTTCTGTCCTGAACCAATGCTGCAGTCAGAGGGATGGAAAATGCAGGTTGGCCAGGTGCAGATCATGTGCACACCCCCAGAGCAAAGGCATGAGGACCCCATAGGCTAGGAGGAAGCGGTGCTTTCCCACTGGTCACCAGCTATAGCTGGAGGAAGAGGGAACAGATCCCGGGCATCCAAAACCTGACAGCGTCAGCTCTGTGGTGATGATGAGCTGTCTGGAGCTTTCTCCTGGTGGTCACTTGTTGCCCAGTACTCCTTCTGTATCTTCTCCTGGCTCCTGGTGGTATCTTCAACTTTCCTAAGGCTGAAGTTCATTCTGAAGGTGACTCACCCCAGATACAGACACAATCCCCCCCTTTCACTCCCTAAAGCACTCTTAATCTAAGGTGTTGTACATAATCCCCTTTTACCAAACTTTTGGGGTTAAGATGGATTTGGAATTATAACAGCATAGGAAGCCACAGAAACCCAAATACCAGGTATCACTGACTGTCCATCCTGTGAGCCTCCTGATATCTTGATGCTGGATTTGGCTTCCTCCCAATCCAGTGCCTTCTCCCATCTTTGATATCATCCTCTCTCGAGGCCCTCACCACATGTCTCTTATTAGATACCAGGTAAAAATCAGTATTACACACAATAAAAATGTGGAATAATTTAGCTGTCTTTAACTTTCTGTTGCAGACTGTGTTCTGGGCTTTGCCTTTATAACTGAAAAATCTGCTAAAAGTATTTTCCTATGGGCTGGGGCTGAAACTCAGTGGCAGAGCACTTGCCTAGCATACATGAGGCACTGGGTTTGATCCTCAGCAGCACATAAAAAATTAATTAATTAATAAATAAAGGTAGCATGTCCATCTACAACAAAAAATATTTTTAAAAAAACTATTTTTCTAAGCCACAGTTACAAACCATTTCTTTCCTAAGTTAAAATTGGTACCTCTGAAGTAAATCAAATCCATAAAGAAATACCATTCCATACCCAATAGGATGGCTATAACTTGAGAAGAAAAAAACAAAAACAAGTCCTGGCAAAGGATGTGGAGAAACTGGAACACACATGCATTGCTAGAGGGAGTGTGAAGGGGTACAGTCACTGTGGAAAACAGAAGTTGAGATATAGAACTACCACATGACCAGCAGTTCCACTCCTGGGTATATATTTCAAAGAATTGAAGACAGGGGCTCTAACAGATATTTATATGCCAGCGCTCACTGCAGCATCATTCACAGTAACTGGAAGGTGGAAACCACCCAAGGGCCCATTAGTAGTTGAATGGATAAACAAGATACGTATGTGCACATAGCAGAATAATATTTAGCCACAAAAGGAGTGAACCTTTTACATATGTAACAACATGAATGGACCTTGAAAACATGCTTAGTGAAATACGCCAATCATAGAAGAATGAATATATATGATACCACTTATACAAAGCACTGAGAATAGTCAAATTCATAGACACAGAAAAAGAAGTTTCTAGAGATTGAGGGTAAGGAGGAAGAGTTATTGTTTAATAGAGGATTTTTCTTGGCAATAATGAAAGGTTTTAGGTCTAGATTGTGGTGATAGTCACACAGCGTTGTGAATGTATTTCATGTATTTGATGCCATTGAATTGTTTGCTTACAACTAATGAAAATGTAATGTTTTATATATTTATTTAACATTAACTAATTAATTAATTGGAAGCTACCACATGACCAGATTCTCCATTTTTTCTTTTGTTTCTATAGAAAAAAAACTATAATGGGAGTATGTCTCCTGAAATGTTGTAACCTGAATATAAGTCCCTCAGTCTGTAGTCATGCAATTATTCATTTCACAAGAGTTTATTGAGCACCTACTGTGTGTAAAACACATGCCAGCTTGAACATGGGAAGAGAAGGGTAGAGAGGTGAATAAGTTCCAGATTATGCTCTGAAGGTAGGGTCGCCAGATTGAGCAAATAAAAAATATAGAATATGTTACCCCATGCAAATCTTTGGGATGTATCTTTACTAAACATTATTTATTGTTTATCTGAAATTCAAATCTGGATGTCCTGCAACCCTGATAGAGGGAATTTATTGTCCAGTTAGGGAGATAAGAGTTGTTCTGAAATCACCAAAATGCAAGGTATAATGAACCCAAGCATCAAAAGATCAAGAGCGGTGAGAATTTTGTAGCCAAGATTATTATATTTAATTCTGAGTGGTCCACTCTGTTGGTAGTGTGCAAACATATGTGAAGTTCATAAGTGGAGAAAACAGGCTGTTTTTTTAAATATATTATGCTTATATTTTTTAATATCTTTATTTTATTTATTTATTTCTCTATTTTTATGTGGTGCTGAGGATGGAACTCAGGGCCTTGCACGTGCTAGGCGAGTGCTCTACTGCTGTGCCACAGCCACAGCCACAGCCCCTCCTTCAACCCTTTTTGACAAACATGTTTCTCTTTTACTTCCTCAACATTATTGCTTCACATCCACTCAATACATATTTGAAGATATGCTCTGTTGTAGGCATTGCTCTGGCACTGAGGACAGAATAGTGAACCCGATGTTGTCTCTCCCTTTGTGGGGTTCAGAGGTAAGAGAGGGAGACAATGACAACAGAAAAAAATGAGAGAATAAAATGCAGACAGTGGTGAAAACTAGACAGAGTGACTGCAGGGCTTTGAGGTTTGAGGCATGGGCACCCTAAGGAGTGCTTCAGGCAGAGGCCTGCTGTGTACAGTTCTCAAGAAAGAGCACTGTAAGTAAATCACACTGCATGACCTTTCTGTTCCCGCCTCAAGATTTTTGAGGTGAGAACAGAAAGGTCATGCAGTGTGATTCCATATAACACATTTTCTTTAAACAACTGCTTATCCTCCTATGTCTCTTTTGCACATCCTTTAATTGAAGGGAATTTGAGAAATAGTTCAATAATGGGCAGCACAAGAAAGAATAGAAATCGAGGCATCTCAATAAGACACAAACTATTTGACTACATGACTTCTAGGGTCCATTCCAAACCCAGTTTTCTAAGGCATATTTCCCCAAACAAACAAACAAAAATGATAGCTAACATGTAAGCCACTTACACTGTGTGATGTCAACTACAAGCATTTTCTTAATTCAGTCCTCTAACAGAGATCAATTCTCTTATCCTCATTTTCCACATACAGGCACTGAGGCTCAGAGAGGTGAGCACTGTGCTCACTTAACTACTAATGCTTAGGTGTTACTCCATTCCACGACTTGCTTCTACTTTTAAATACATTAGAACCCAGCATGAAATAACTGACCTGCCAGGAAACATCCCAAAGAAGTTAAAGAGGGTCCTAAACTTGTCTAAAGAGAACCATTCTCTATCCTCCTCTCAGATGGAGGTTCTTTTAGTGCCCTACATTCCACAGTTCCCAGGACCAGATCTCACAAAGCTATTCCACCAGCCTGATGGGAATTGCCTCCCTGATGTGTAAATTCAGTACCCTGTTGTTATTATTTCTCTTTATAGCATCCATTGCTATTTTGAATCATATAATTCTCTTTGTGATCCTTGATGATCTGCCTTCCTAACTAGACTAAAAGTTACATCAGGACACACAAGTGGTAAGCGCTTAATTTTTCTTTTCGGTACTAGGGATTAAACCCAGGGCCCTGTTGCATGCTAGGTAAATGCTCTACCACTGAGCTACATTCCCAATCCAATTTTAAAATAAATATATAAATGAAGACCTGTGAGATCTCATGCATTTGGGTATAACTAGTTAGAGTTGGCAGAATGCTTTCCATTATCTCTTTTGCATGCCTTGTGTTTTGTGAGGTAGATAGTACTAATCCTACCACAAGTCAAACCTGAACAATGACATGAGACAGTGGGTGAACTGGAAAAGCCTCCAGTTTGAGAATGTATAATAACGGGGTCAAGTTCTAGCGCTGCCGCTTACAATATGTAGCCTTGGGGCAAAACACTTTAAGGGCAGTGTCCTCGCTTGTTCAGCAAACATCCATTGCACATCCTGTGCTACTCTTCTCTCTGCGATAGAGCAGTGAGCAAGAACAAAACCACTGCCTCCTGGAATTTACATTCTAGAGCTGACGGCAGGAATATCACAAAATGTACATCAAGTGTAAAAGGTAAATGGTGGTGAGTTTAAGGACACTGGGGATGAAAGAACGAGGGTAGGAGTGTGCATTCTGAGGCAGAGGGAGGGTTGCAGAGTTAGCTAAGGACTCCCTCAGGTGGTATCTGTAAAATGGGAACACTATTTTTCAGGTCTGGTGGAGATTTAGTAAGAAAAGGCATGGATTGGTACACACACACACACACACACACACACACACTTCCATAGGTCCAGAATGGACCTAAGAGACTCCTACCGAATGATGCCTCTTGCAGCCCAACGCACGGGGCGACGTGGGTCCCGGAGGATCTGTAAAGACAGTGGAATGATGCCCGGAACGTGAGGAAAATTTGCCTGGGCGGAACGTTAATCCATAGGGAACCCTTGCAGGTTCGGAACATTAGCGGGGAGGTACTGTCACCCTAGCAACGACACGCACCGGGCGGATGCAGGCTGCGGAAAGCGGGCCGCGGCTGGAGGCAAGGGCGGGACTTACGGCGGAAGTGGCCTCTTTACCGCTAGTGCCGCGGAAGATGCTGCGTTCGGTGTGGCTGTGGCTGGGTCTGGGCCTGTGCAGCCTCTTGCTGGGGCAGGCGAAGGCCCCAAGCCCAGTGGAGCCGTCGGAGCGGAGCCGGCCGTATGCGGTGCTGCGCGGACAGAACCTAGGTGAGCAGCCGCGGGCGACAGGCTGTGGGTCGCACTTCCGCTTCTGCAGCTTCGGTCCGCAGGAACCTGCCACACAGGGTGGGAGATGTGTGAGGGCCCCGGGGCTGGTGGGGACTCTCAGGAGCCTCGAGACCCTGTCTCCGAAGGCCTGATGCTCAGCACAAGGCCCGGTAACTTGTTATTTTCCCGGAATGTGCTGGTTGTGCCTAAATGAACCGGAATCGACAACAGCCTGCATCTCAGCCTGGGCCCCCTCCTGTGTGGTTGCGAGGGCTAGGCAGTGAGGCGCGCCCTAAACCCCTGAGCACCCTGCGAAGTCGCTTCCACACGTTGTCAGGATTTCTTACCCTGGACACTACTGACATGTTGGATCAAAAGATTCTTTCTCAGGTGGAGGGAGCTACCCTGAACACTGTAGGTTGGTTAGCAATACCTCCACCCTTTACCCTGTAGATGCCAATAGCCCACCCTGTTTAGATCATCGAAATGTTTCCAGTGGTTACCAGTGACCTCTGGGTGAACATCCCCAGCGCTGAGACCAGTGCTGTAGATCAGCACTCCTCGGAGGGTGGTCTGCAATCTAGGTTATCTTCAAAGAGATGACTGCAGAAATTGAGTGTTTCAGAACTTAACACCGTGATGTTGTAACATCCCAGCAAGTGGAGAACAGTTTTAGGTATCTCTAACCTGGAACGCTTCGCAGGTGAAGGGAGCTGCAGGTCTGGGCCATAAAGCATAAAAACTAGTCCTTTACCATTGGTAGTACCAGAAACATGGCCCTAGACAATCCTGTGCAGTGGGTATTTTTACCTAATTTTACAGACAAGGAAACAGACACGGAGGTTGGATGACTTGTGTAAGCTTATGTAGCTTGAAAACATACATGGAAACCCAAACCTGTGCCATGTTGCTGATCTTGACAATAGTAACAGTGCTTGTTATATGTCCAGCAGTTTGTTGAGCACTTTTTTATTTGGCCCTCAAACTTTTTAAGTGGGTGTCATTTGTCCCATTTGATGGATGCAGAAAATCATGCTCCTTTATGGGAACTGACCATAAGAATGGAGTGAAATAGTCTAATAGGTTCTGTCTGGACCTGCCAGTCAGATAACTGATATTACATGGAAAGTGCAGAGAGGTGGTGAGCAGGAGAATCAATCAAGCCCCAGATGGATTGGTAGCTGTCCCAGTGGACATTGTATACCTCATAACACATGCTTTTAAGCTGTTTTTAATTTATTTTAAGTAGATTTCCATCCCCCATTCCAATCCTCAGAATTTCTGCTTTGGGAGTTTAAATTTTTTAGATCCCTTCTAAATTCAAGAAAATGGCTTAAGCAGAATAAGACGGTTTTGAATCTAATTACAGTCGGAATTTTAGGAACTTGGAATTCAAGACTTTTGAAAATTGGGGAAGGTGTTTAGGAAACAAGGGCTATTTGAGATATGATATTTAGCTCACATAAGATGTAGATTTTGTTTAATAAAGACATTAAAGTTACTTGTAACCTTTTGGAGTTATGGCACACTGTCTTTGTCATCTCTTCTACCCTTCTGCTCTCCCTCACTCACCTAAAAAGATGACCTTCCCATGCAATAATTGGGTTAAGTGTGGATGATGATGGGGCACTGGGGGAAATACTCTGAAATTACTGTTTCGAAGAAAACTGGTGAAATGTTGGTTTTCCAGAGGAACAGTAACTTGATTGGAAAACAACCATGGTTAGGCCCCAGCTGGAATTTGAGTTGGGCCCACTTACTTACAAGCACATATAAATATACTTGCTTATTAATGGTAACAGCATTTTGAATGCTTCCTAAGATCTCTGTTATGGAAACACGGTTGCACATCACTACTGCTGTTGAGTAAACCTTCTGGCAGGTGACTGGTTAATATTTTAAAGCACTGGTCCTTATCATCCTGTACCAGCAAAGCTCAACTTGAGTAAATAGTTGTAGATCCCACTTCTCACCTGAGCACCTTGAAAATTTTAGTTGTGAACTTTATTCTCAAAAACATAATAGGTTTGTGCAGTTGGTTAATTGCTTCTTTGGTGAGAAGATCCTGGTCAAGACAATATTAAGAGACTGAAATATTTTATTGTTTACTGAATTTCCAGGTCTTACTAGTGGCTTTCCAGACATAGTTGGGCTCCCTGCACCTGTTACCTGTCTGTAGTCAGATGGTTCTCCACACAGCAGCAAGAGGGATCTTTTCCCCAGCAAAATCCAAGCATGTCTCCCTTTGCCTTCAGTCCTCCTGAAGCTCCTCTTTAAATTTTTGCGGGGAAGTCCTTATTTTCTTCATGGGCTCCAGGGCCCTACATAAACTGGCTTCAACCTTCCTGTCTGGCCTCTTTTCTTTCTCTCTTTACTCCTTCATATTTGTCTCCTTTTCTTCTGGCCCTTCTCTGATCCTTGGGAGGGCAATGCTCTCCCTGCAGAGCTGCACACAGCTGCTCCTTCCTGTTATCAGGGGCTCAGCTTGTGTATCACCTTTGAGCTTCCTCCTCCACCTTACCTGCTGTTGCCCGCCATCCCATCACCATCACAGCACTGTTTTCTTCACAGCTTATCAAGGTATGTGAAAGGCTTTTACTTATGTCTCACTGCACAAGGGTTTATTCACAGCTCTCTCCCCTCCTCCTGGCACAGTGCCTGGCAGTAAGTGGCATTTGAAAAATCATAGTCAACAAATGCATGAATTGCAGAATCTGTGTGCCCTTAGGAGTAACATATTTTCTCTTTGCAGTGTTGATGGGAACCATTTTCAGCATCCTGCTGGTGACCGTCATCCTTATGGCATTTTGTGTCTACAAGCCCATTCGGCGTCGATAACAGCCAAGCAAGCAAGTTCCGCCACAAGCTTTTGGGAACAGGATAAGTTGTGTTGCACATGGGCCAATGGAGAAGTTGGAATCAGAACTTTTCTATTTGGAAATGACCTTTGGTCATTTGTTAAAAGCTAAATGGTTTAGAAAAAAAATCTACTAGTGATTTTTTTTTCCCCTAACATCCTAATGCAAGTAATTTGGCTGCTGAGCTGCTTCTTGATGTTTCTTTTTATGTCTGACTGTACTTGTAAAAGACCTGATGCTCCAAGGTTCAGGGCAAAGATGGAGTATTCACAAGAAAGAAAACATGGTAACCCTGTACCCATAAGAACCACACTGGAAAGGACTACCATTAATGCTTGAAATAGTAGTAAGAGGAAGGCTTAACCTGTAGAGACACTGCCTGCACTAGAGCCATCTGCTCACAGCAGATTAAGAATCACAATTTTCATTATACTGAGTTGACTTAGAATGCCCTGGTTGCAAAGCAGTGTCCACTGTAGGGAACTTGAGCCTGTGACTCTCTACCTGCATCCAACTCTGTATGTGGATGTCCCCCAATGAAGTCAGGGTCGCATCAGGTAGGCCTATTACTGTATGCACCCTTGGCATAGAAAGCTCTGGGATTGAACTGGAAGTGTTTAGGTGGCCCCTCAGGAAAAGAACTCCATCCTGTTCAGACACAGTGATCCCTTTGTTTAGTACTTAAGTCTTTCCAGCCCTAAAACTTGTGTTAGCTTTTCAGATGGGGAACCGAGACTCAGCAGGAACCCTGTTCAGCCCTGGGTATGGGGGGGCTCAACCAAGAAGTACATTTCCACTGTGGGCTGCTGTGTGTTTACATAAATTCAATCTCAGTTTTGAAAATGCTGAGATTAGTTAGTTTGCACTGCTGGTAAACTGGATTTTTTACCCCTATTGAAATGATACTTCCACACTTATAGACTGGTTATTAGTATTTATTTTAAAGGTGCTAGATTTAATTTTGTTATGAAGTTGAAATGCTTATCTTGTGCTTTATTTAGCACAGCACTGATATTTTCTTTTCTCAACAACCTGCACTTAATGTGAAATAACTGATGAGGCATACTGTAACAATGTGACCTAAGGACTTTGTTTAACCTTGTAACATTGAACCATTGAGATGTTCTTCGTTCTGTACTTTTGAGCAAACTGTCAATTAAAATGAAAGCCAAACCCTATGTGTTGTTTTACTTAGTAATTACTTCCCAAGTGTTAAAGTGCAGGTAGGGATGTGTGTGGGTGGGTGTGGGTGTGGGTATGTATGTGTGAACCTGATTTCTTAAGGAAGCACTATGAAGTGGAATTTTAAATTCATGTGAAACAACTTATTGCCACTAGACAAAGGTACTAATTTTAAAAAACTGAACCATGTACTTCAGGGTCAAGATTTAACAGTTCTCACCTTTTTGATTTTGATTTCTACTTTGACTATACAGGTACTTAGAAGGTATTTTTAATGTTCAAATGTATGCGTTTTACCAAGGATTTAAAATTCAAACTTTATGACTTTGTGGTTAGAAACTGTGATCTGAATACTGCTAATTTCTTGGAAAAAAATTGATTTAGGTTTCTGATCTCCGTGGTGACCTTAGGAAAATTAATTCTAATATTCTGTATCTGTTAGATCAAGTTTATTTACAGCCTTTTGCTTTATTTTATCTTAGTGGGTTTTTTTCCCCTCAATGTTTATTTATTTATTTATTATTTTTATGTGGTGCAGTATGTGATGGAAATTCAAAGTCCAACCTTGACCTATGTCTAGAAATAGGTAGGCATGGGTTAAGATTGACGTCCAGTTGAGAAAAGTATAATACACGAATAGTACCCAAGAGTCCTCAGATCTCAATCAGCACTGAAAGGCTTCTGAATCTCAACTTTAAGAAGTTTATTTAGTGTTTGCTAACATTTTCTTATTGGTGCAGGTTAAACACGTGTTCATCTGGCTACACAGGTAGTATTCTGAGAATGGTTTAGTTATGTGGTCTAGGGTTGACAAGCATACCTTCAGAGATGAAGACTAGGGAAGTAATCTATTTGAAAGTACTAGATGGCTAGTCTTGACTGCATAAAAGTCAAAAACCCAGGGTCTCACACATGCTAGGTGAGTGCTCTCCCCGAGCCACAACCCCAGCCCTTATCTTAGTGGGTTTTTTAATTCATTTCATCTACTTAATCTATCAATCACCAAGAAAGATTTTAAAGTATCACAAAATGGAAGTCCATTTTTTAAAAATTTCCTTTGATTAACCAATTAATGCCTACTTTATGCATTTGAGACTGTGTTTCAGTAAATATAATAATTTTAAAGAAAAAAAAGGAAACTAGGCCATAATCAACTCTCAGGCTGGATCCAGGTAAGGCTTGGATTCTTGTCCCATCTCCAATTATAAACAGACTTAACCTCTCTAGAGCCTCAACTTTCTAATCTGTAAAGTGGTGATATACACACTCTCTTAATTATTGTAAAAATCCAATGATGTGAAAAATAATACAAATGGAGGAAGAATCACCACAGCTGGACCATCCCATAGAAGTCCTAGGTTACTGACTGAGGAAGAAGGGGGTGGGATACAGAGACTGGCATTTACAAGAGTCCAGTCCTAGGAATACATAACCATTACCATCTCATCTGGAAGAACATCTTCAAATACTGCTATGATGTTCATTGCCATTTTTAGAATTTTAAAATGAAACAGTAAAAACTTGTCAAACAGTTAAATCTTGTGACTTGCTTTTCGCTTAGAATTACCACTCATCTGTTCCAGTTTTCTGAAACAACTGTGCAATAATGATATTCTACACACAAATCCAAGACCCAGTCTACATTTATGTTCCAGTTTCATCATCTGTATCAATTCAACAAAATAATCTTTGCAGAAAGAGGCCTTTTGTAGAGGGAATTCTGGGGGGAGATAATTATCCCCAAAACTTTTATGCAGTCAAGACTAGCCAACTAGTACTTTCAAACAGATTACTTCCCTAGTCTTCATCTCTGAAGGTATGCTTGTCAACCCTAGACCACATAACTAAACCATTCTCAGAATACTACCTGTGTAGCCGGATGAACACGTGTTTAACCTGCACCAATAAGAACATGTTAGCAAACACTAAATAAACTTCTTAAAGTTGAGATTCAGAAGGCTCTCAGTGCCGATTGAGGTCTGAAGACTCTTGGGTACCATTCGTGTATTATACTTTTCTCAACTGGACGTTAATCTTAACCCACACCTACCTATTTCTAGACATAGGTCAAGGTTGGACTTTGAGTCCCATCACCAGACACTTGTAATTTTCATAGCCCATCTTTTTTAATGCCATCTGTGGTCAGCAGGAGGCTGGAAAATTTACGTTTCCTTTCGATATTGAGAACAGACTTTTCTATTTCTTTGACACCTCACATCATGTGCAGTGTGACAGGCTTCTTTATGGAACAGAAAGTCTTAGAAACTTAAAAGTTGCTTAGTTAAAGTTTCTGCTGATATTGGGTCATTCAAACTTGAATGAACCTAGAGTTAAAAAAAAAAAGAAAAAGAAAACTATTGTTACATCATCTGATCATCCTTCTATCAACTATTGTTAAATCATCCATCCACTTGACCTAAGGAGAATCATTTTCTTTTCTTCACAGTGCTCTCATAGCTCAGTGAATTGGTATCTACTTTCCCACAAAAGCAAAGCAGCTTTTTCACATCCTCCCAGAAATATCAAAGCCTCATTTCCAGAACCCAAACAATTTTTACTGGCCGTAAACTACCTTTTGTGATTTAGTAAAACGTATTAAGTGTAAGATGAGTCTGGAAGCCCTAAGTATCATCTGAATGTGTAAAAATAGCCTCCCAAAGCACACCAGGGAAGGAGTGTTCAGCGGGCCCTCCTGTCCTCCTCCAGAGCCAGTGCGCCTGGGGACACTGCTGCAGGGCTGGCTGAGCAATCCAATGTGGATGCTTTTCCTTTTCATCTGGAACAATTTGTGTGGCACATGTGGTCTGTGTGAGTTGGTAGGAAGGCTGACAGAAGTGTGCCACCTTGTCATGGTATACAACCGAGCAACTTGTTCCAGTGACGAGAAGAAAATGCAAAAAAAAAAAGAGACAAGACTCAGGGCTGGGGTTGTGGCTCAGTGGCAGAGTGCTTGCTTCGTACATGTATGGTACTGGGTTTGATCCTCAGCACCACATAAAAATAAACAAACACAATGAAGATATTGTGTCCATCTATAACTTAAAAAAAAAAATGTTTTAAAAAAGAGACAAGACTCAGACTGAATAGGATACTGGATGAGCACCCTCTACAGAAGCAGTCTTTATTTGCATTTTAAGAGAACACATAGGAAAAACGCTTTGACAGGTTGACATGTTGCTCAGTCCCTTTTTAAGTGACTTCCTAGGGAGAAAGTCAAAAGACTTTGGGAAGCAGAGCAATGGAATGCAAACACAGAAATTGCCTATGATTCACCTTAGTGAGTAAATGACGTGGCCTAACTAGAGCCATTCCCAAAAAGTGTCTTCGCTCATAGTAAATGCCAAGTAAACAAAACGCCAAGCTGCATATGAAACAAAAGTGATGTTGCCTGTACTGGCCTCCTGTGCAGAGAAGGAATTTTGGTCAGACCGTGACAAAAAGGCAGATGGCAATATGGAATTAAAAGCACAATTCTTTGTGTGTAGAAACCTTCTACTGGCAACACTAACTGTAGGATACAGACATTAACTGGAACGGTAGTATGTTTCTCTTCCTATCCTGAAAGAAGCGCAACAGGAAATAGATGTGGAACAGAGGAGGATATTGTTTACCAGGTTATTTCAGTGCAGCCTGTGGGAATAAATACATGGGCCAGAGGGAGAGGTGCCCTCAGCTGTATTCCCCAGGGGTCTGTCTGTTATTCGATGGGTATTTACAGGAGGGTTAGACAAAATAGTTAACTACTAAAAGTATCCAAAAAAGGCCTGAGAAAATCTGGTTAAAATGTATAACCTTGTATTGCTACTGATGGGAGTAGTCATTTTTTTTATATCTTTTAAAAATAATAAAAAGATTCTGTTAAAAAATATATTCATCCAGAAAGATGTTGATTTGAACTCTAAAAAGCAACATGGAATCCCTTTTTCCCTTTTGAGTGAAGAACCATTTGAGCTCTACATTAACTCCCTTTCTAATTTCAAATCCATCCCTATCCTTTGGGTGACATGTGGCCCGTTTTTCCTAAGTGTCTTTCTGGAAATTCTTACCAGACGAGGTGCAGAAGTTACCCTGGTTTAGTTCTCTGCTGTTCTGATACTGTGGCCAGCTCCCCCAGTTCAAGAACGAGCCATGGCTTCCTCTAGCAGCTCCTTCAGGGACAGGATTAGCTGCCTTTGATTTAGCCTGGAGGATCCTGCTCCCAAAGGAGCTGCCTTTACAAATTCAAATCAGATCCCTCAATACATGGAGTGAGGTGGTTTCAAACTATTAGTGATTTTTAAGGCTAAGGCAACATCCGTGGTCATCTGTATATCTTAATTTGATGCAAATAGTTAACCATAATCTAAAATAGATCCTGTACATATCTCCTCTTTAACTTTAGCTGGGGGTGGAAGGAATGGAATAAGGTGGAGATGGAGGAGGAATAATGACAATGTTCTAAAAACCCTATATATAAAGGTAAAAATAAAGAATAGATCCGCACAACCCATTTCTTTGGTGAACAGTAAAGAAGGTCTCAGATTCTCATAAACCACTCTACAGAGGCTGCTGCTGCTCTCGTATATAAAAGCACCCTGACTCTGCAATAACTTGTTTTGTTATCACTCCTTGATAAAAATGTATCTACAGACCTGCAGGGATTGGGTTTTTGTCTAAAGCTGGTAGTAAAAATGTGACCTGCAAGCCATACAACTAATGGAAAGTGACAATGTTCTTCTCCCCTTAGCCTGGAGATGGGGCCTGCCAATCCCCCACTCTTCTCCACTCTGGGGAATGTCCTGGATGGGCCTGGTAGTCCCTGGTCCTGCGCTTCTGTGTAAAGAAGGGGCAGCTGTCATCTGCAGAAGTGTAGGTCCTCAGCCCTGAGGCCTCAGTTGACACAGCACTAATGTGCAGCCCAGAGCCTCTGCTTTGTGCAGCCCACGGGCAGCAAGGTCTACTTCTCAGTGAGTGACAGTTGTAAGACTTGCTGGAGCTCAGCCTCCTCCTCCTGGAG